CGCGAGAAGCTCGATAATATGGGCATGGAGTACGCCTACCTTCTCACCTCGCAACTCGAATCTCAACGCGCATACTTTGAAGAACAGCTCGAACGCGCAGTCGACAAAGCAGCAAAAGCCGCCTCTACCGCCGACGAAGCGACCCGATCCGTCGCCTCGCTCTCCCAAAAACTCGACCAGCTCTCCACCTCCCAGTCCGAAGCAACAAATACCATCGCCTCCCTTACCCGCGAATCCGCCCGCAACGCCCAGAAAGCTACGTCCGCCTCTGAACTTGCGCGTAAACTCACCAAGCAGTACAAGGAAGAGCAGATAGTGAATGAGAGCTTGATGGAGCGGATTAAGCACTTGGAAAAGAAGGCAGAGGAGGCGGAGAATAAGGTCAAGGAGCTTGAAGCTCAGAAGGCGGATCTCGAGGAGCAGAATCGCGATTTGAGCTTCTTTATTAGTGGCCAGGAGAAGTTGAAGGAGATGCAGGGGAATGAGGTTATGGGGTTGCAGGAGGGTGAGGTGGAGGGTGGGACAGTGGAGGTGGGTGAGAAGAAGGGGAGGAGGAAGGGGAAGAAGAAGGCTTGATATAGTATGGGCTATGACTTACGAAGAGTGCGAGGGTTGAGGCATTTGTGTGGAGTTTATCATTTAGCGGCATTGGCGTGGTCATGGCTATGGCCTGGGATGACGGAGTTGCAGTTGTCAGACATCAGATACCCACTTAGAACGTTGAATAGAGTCCTGGTTAGGGCTTTTGTATCACATTCAGCATCATCATCACGGTCGTCTTCATCGTCACAAAACGACCAAATGTTGAAGATAGATGCCTTGAATTCTCCCCATCAAACCTCCCTTAACCAAACATTATACGCCCCCAGCCCATACCCATGCATCTCAAACATTGCGCATAAACAATAAAAAAAAAGGAGCGCAATAACAAGTATATGTATACACTGTACACGCGACCCATTCATGTATCTGTGTCGTCGGAAAGAAGGTCAGAAGGAAGTAAAACACAACGTCGTTGCCCCCCAGGCAAAGGGAAGCCAGCCGTGTCGTGTCGGTCGTGAGAGTCATGTCATATGCTAAGGTCGTGATGGGAAAGAGGGAGAGATATTCGTTCATGACCCCAGGAATGCCAAAGAGAGTGTCGTGAAAGAGATCCAATTGGGGAGATGGAAAGGATAAGATGCATGCTGTGATTTGATGTTGATTTGACGATGTGACGATGTGAGATGGAATGCAGTGGAGAGGTGATGAACGCCGTTGTATCCGTGTTTGCGCCGGTGGTGAAAGCAATGTTGATGGGTTTGCTGAGCTGATGGTGGGTCGAAGCAGTTGGTCATCCAAAGGAGGAGATGGTCGAGAGTGGCTGTTGGGTACGGGATATCAGGCTGGTATCCAAGTGGTAGTAGATGTCGGACAGATAGCGATGTCGATAATCTCAAATCCAGTCATCGTCTACTTTGTTCGTACTGCCAATGGCAATCTCCCGCTCAAACCCAAGACCTAGGCCGAGCCCGACATCCATCTTAGGCGGTGCCATGAGCTGTGGTGGAGGCTCCGTCTTCTTCTTCGGGCTCTGCTTGGCTGGGCTTACGCTACCGCCCTTGCCATCGCCAGCACCCATGCGCACAGTCTTGACGTCCCAGTCGTCTTCGAGGGCGGCGCCGATCCAGACTTTGACGCTGTCGTGGACAGCGCCATAGTACTTAGGGTTACAGGCGCGGAGATGACCGAGCAGTTTCTCGAAGCCTGAGATCTTGAGTTCGGAGCGGAACTCGTTGCGTGCGGTGCGGGTGGGGAGGGAGGCCATGATGCCGTTGAGGAGGTCGATGTGTGTGGCAAGGTAGTTGGTTGCGTCCCATTCTACGCCGCCGACGTAGGGTGCTGCGGGCACAATGGCGCGTTGACCTGGGAAGTGGGTTTTCGCGTACGACTTTCCTTCCGTAGGCTTGGGCGGAACGGGAATGACGTTGAGGTGATGGATGAAGATCCAGAAGACTTCTTTGGTCACGTTGGATAGCTCCTTGCACCAGACCTGGTAGGGCCGCTGTGTGTGCATCTGGAGGATGAACGGAACCGTCGAAGCCTGCTTCTCTTTAACAGGGTCTTTCAGGTACTTCATCAGCTCTTTGGCGCGGGTCTCTAGCTCGCCCTCGGGTGCCATGGAGATGTGAGCGAAGATGATCTCGATGATAAGTTCACGCGTAGTAAACTCGCTCGGACCTTTGTGCTCCTCGTCGAAAAGCATGGCCAGTAATGCTGGGTACAGTGTCGATGAGATCTCGTTGAGCTGCTTAAGAGCCGTGGCGGTCGTGCAGAGTCCCTTGAGACATCGAAGGAGTTCGTGCAGAAGTGTGTCTTCGTGGTCTTCGCGCCATTCAATCTCCATGATGCGGTGGAGCAGCGCGACCAGCTCAGTCATACCACCATCCTGGATGAAGTTGTCAACCCAGTCGACAGTCTCGTTACGGATCAATAGGCGAAGCTTGTGCAGCTTGCCAACCTCAACGTTCTGGGGCTTGGGAGTCTTCTTCAAGTAGGAGATGAACTCGTCAGCCTTGACCGATTTCGCTCCGTTGGACACAGAACGATCGGAAGCATTGGATCTCAAGGACCTCATAGACGGAGACTTGGGGATAGGCGCTGGTTTTGAGTTCGTCTTCCGTTCGCCCGATTCGCCCTTCTGCTTCTTCGTGGGAGAGTCACTCCTGTTGAAGGTGAATGTTCGGCTCCGCGGTCGCTCACGCTTAGTAGAGTTGGCTGACTTGTCCGCTTCCGCCTCATCCTCTGCATCCTCGACGGCAGATCCATGTCGGGACTTCGACGACTTCTGTGGTACCTGCTTGGTGTTCTCGCCAATGGAAGACTGGGCGGAGTTTGTTCGTGAGGTCTGGGGTATGTCAAGTTTGTGCATGCGAACAAAGTCGGCCTTGACCTCGAGCTTCAGTGTCCGCATCTGAGCACGTTGATGTGTGGGGATGTTTCGAGATTCCTGGTATCATTAGCAGGTATTCATTTGTATCTTTAGACAGCACTTACCAGAACCTCCTCGAACTCGGCGTCTACCGCCTTTGGATCGAGCTTGGCAGACGCCGGTGCACCGTCAGCTTGCTTTGACTTTCCGTTAAAGGCAGCAACGGCAGCCATGACTCGGTTCTGCTTTTTGGTTGTGGCTGGCGGCGGCGGCGGCGCCATGGAATTGAGACTGTAGTCCTTGCTGCCGGTGTCGGTACTAGCCCTACTGAGTACGGGTCTTGCCGGCTTTACAGGAGAGCTCTCCCTTGTGCGTCCCTCGTTGCCCTTGGTATCTGATAGAGGAACGCGCTCGTTGCTCCGCTTGCGAGAGAAGGTCTCAAGCAAGGATGCCGTGGAAGTCGACTTGGGAGCAAACATGGACTTGGGCCGCTCTTTCGGGGCAGGTCGGAGGGCTGGCTGGCCGACCTCGAAGAAGTTGCGCTGCTTGGTGGGGGAGTAGTCCTGGGGAGTGTAGAGGGCGATCTCCTCCTCGACGCTCCGTCGCTGATCGTTAAGCGGGACTTTGCTCGTGGTGGTGACTTCCTGCTGGGAGCTGAACTCGGCCCAGATGGGAGTGCGAGGTGGGGCCTTGTCGTGAGAAGAGCGGGGTGGTGTAGTGTTCTCCTTGTCTCTGCTCTCCTTCACAGGTGACTTGTCTCTCCGGCGCCCGCCGAACATGGCAGCCAGATTGGTCGACGACTTTGTCTTCTTCGGCTTCTCGCCCATCTCGGCCTCTTCCTGAGATCGCCGCGAGTCGAATGACTTCTTGTAGGCGGGCTTCTCCTTCTCCTCCTTGTTCTCCTTCTTGGCCAGTGACCGCAGCGAGACGGAACTGAGCGTCTTCTTGTGCAGGCTCTTTTTGGGGCTCGAATTGACGTCTCGCGACTTGCGCGGTGACGGCGGATTGGTGGGTACGTTCTCCGTCTGGGTTGCCGCGCGCAATTGACTATGGGGGTGGTCTGGCGGCAGGAGCGGCGCCTGGAAGTTGGAGACTGGCATGTACGGCGGGTTGGCTATTTGATTGTTGTGCAACCCAGCGCCCTCGGTCGGCGAACGCTTGTGGCCTTTGTTCGCGATGATAGACTTGAGCACCCCAGCTGCGGCGCTCCTGTTCCGTCTATGCGAAGGTGCGGCGGTGGCCATGTCCGGCGTCGACATGATGATGCTCCAACAAGATGGGAGTTGGGGAAGCGTCGACTGAGGTCGGGGCCGGGAAGAGAAGGCTTGAAACGTGGGTTGTCTATAGCAGAAGGATGGCGGGCATATTTGGGGAGGCGATGAGGCACATGTCCGGCATACTTTGTGTTTACGTCGCGGACATGGCGGGCGATCCCCACGGCAACGACACCAGCGCGTGGGGAGCACGCTAGGACCCGCTAGACGCCACATTCATGCGTTAGACATTAAACATTGCACCCGTCATATCTCGCCGTGGTTTCCAAGGCCCTTCTACGATGGCCTGCATCTGGACACCTCCACACCACCTGCGTTTCCCCAGTCGCGTCGCGTATTGTTGCCTCCAAACACGCGACCCTCTACAGTGGCACCACCCGCTATCGTGTGTTGACATCGCGAAAGAAGCTAGCACCTAACTTCCGAGGCACTGACCGCTCACGGCAGCGTCACTTGACAACAAAAAATTGCCTTTATGCACCGCGAGCTTAATGTCGCACTGACGCCAACCGCTATTCACAACACGGGATGCCGTTGCCGGTGTAGGTATAGAAGCGAAGGATGTATATTGTGTTGTGAAGACCATTGTACAACGCCCACTAGCACATTGGCAGGCACCCAACTATTCCCAAATGACAACAAACCACGATGCCGCCCTTTTCCCTGCGTATGCTACCACCATGCTTTCGTCCCATCCTTAGAGTTGGTTCGCCAACCCTCTGACGGTCCTTCTGCGCTTCTCCATCTCTCCGATTCGGATCAGCCCGCCCATGACAGACAATCCTTCGTCCCCACACCCAGTGGTGCCAACGCAGATGCCCTTGGTAGTATCCGCACAGTCACAGACGTTAGGCATGCAAACTGTGCCGATCGGACAGCTGGCTGAGGTCCTGCATTGAAGGATACCTGGGTCAGAACAGTTTGTCGCATCCTTGTCGTAACAGACACCAGCGCCATCCATGGTCCTTGCGCACCGGCATGACGAAGTTCCGTTTCTGTTGCACAGGCGGTCAAATTCGCAGTTGGAGTCGCATGCACGAGATGCGCACACTCCGTTGTTGCAGAGGTTGCCCGCGACGCACGCGTTGTTGCAGCGGCCACAGTGAAGAACGTCAGTCGCGAGGTCGCGGCAGGCGCCGTCACAGAGACCAACGCCAAAGCCTCCACACACGGGTGGGCTGGGCGTCGCGCTCGTTGTGGATGTAGTCGACGATGTATCGGTGGTCGAGGAAATCGGTGTAGTGCTCAATGACAACGAAGAAGATGATGACGAGGACGACAGACTGCTAGTAAACGTGCTCGAATCACTGGAAGTTGAAGTTATGATTGTAATTGTTGACAGTGAGGAGGAGGAGGAGTCTGTGGTGCTCAGTGAGAATGACGAAGAACTGCTGGCAGAAGTGCTCGAAGCACTAGAGGTCGTTGGGGTGATGATAGTGGACGATGACAGCGAAGACGACGAGTCGGTGCTGCTCGCTGAAGACGACGAAGGCGATGAACTGCTAGCCGATGTGCTCGAAGCACTGGAGGTCGGAGTCAAAGTAGTGGTTGATGACAATGACAACGACGAGTCCGTGCTACTCGTTGAAGATAACAAACTACTACTTGCAGACGAACTTAAGTCGCTGGAGGTAGGTGTTGCACTGCTTGAAGATGAGGATTCAGTACTACTAGTTGAGCTCGTCGAGACGCTGCTGGAGGAGCTCGATATGTCCGATGTGCTTGATGAAGAGCTGCTGGAAGAGCTTTCGGATGACGTAGTACCTGACGAGGAGCTTGGTGTCATGGTGAATGATGAAGGCATGGAAGAGCTTGACATGCTGCTTGTGGCAGGGACTTCTCCCGAGGAAGTCGAGGCGCTGCTTGATACCGTGGACGAGGTGCTTGAAGTGGCGGAGGGCTCAGTTGGAGTACTAGATGAGCTACTCGAGCTCGTGCTTGATACATCGCTTGTGGTAGATGATAATGTGCTCGCACTGCTGGACAAGCTGCTAGATGAGCTGCTTGAGCTAGTAGACGAACTACTAGGTGTTGTAGATGAAGAGCTGGAGGAACTGGACACAGTCGGTGTGCTTGACGAGCTGCTAGACTCAGTCGACGATTCTGAAGAGCTAGACGAGCTGAATGAAGTTGGCGCGGTAGAGGAGCTAGACGAGCTGCTACTGTCGGTCGAGGATACTGAAGAGCTCCCTGTGCTGGACAGGCTACTGGAAGTCATCGATGAGGAGATGGAGGAACTGGTCACAGTGGGCGCGCTAGATGAGCTACTTGACCCAGTCGACGATATCGAAGAACTTCCTGTGCTGGATGACGAAGGAGCCGAGCTTGAAGAACTATCTGAGCTTGTGGATGACGATGTACTTGAGATTGTGCTGCTGGCAACAGCACTGGACACCGATGAGGAGGAAGTCATGCTCAAAGTTGAGGAACCCATGGAAGACGACGGTGTAATGGTTGGGCAGGACGTCCCAGTGATCGTGACGCTGGTATACGTTGTAGTCTCAATATCGGTCACAGTCTACGACACTCGATCAGCCACTGCTCATCATACACCGACATGAAACTTACGGTTCCAAGGTAGGTAACAATATCTTCGGTGATGCTCGCACATCCGCATACAGATTTGTATTCTTGCGAGGCACAGGCTTGGGTGGCGTATGTAGGCACTGGTCCAAAGACGGTGGTCGTGGACCAGTTAGTTCCGGTTGGCAGTGCTTGTCGAATCCATAGTTTATCTTCGTCGGAAGTAATGGGCTCATCTGTCGGAACGGGGAATACCTCCGAAGGGCATGGTGTTGTCAGAGTGGATGTCGTAAGAGTAAAGGACGTGATAGTGGTGCTGGAGTAGACTGTTAGTGTGTTTGATAGACATCTTGAGTGGGATACGAACATTGGGTACCAGATGACACTCGTAGTAAGGAAGTCATCGCAGTCTTCTCCAGCCCTGATTATCTGACCGAGTCCGCCGTTGCCGAAAACTGCGCGGAAGCAGTCATCCTCATTGCATTGCTGTCTAGTGTCGAGCACGGCTGCCAAAGCCACGGACAGGTTGAGGAAGATAGCGAACGTAGAAAGCTTCATCGTTTTCTAGTAACGAGTGTAGGTCGGACTAAGCTGATGAGCACGGCTACCAACCAAAGGAGCCTGAAGCAACCTTTATAAGCCCCCCTCACTATGCCAAAGACTAGTGACAAAGCTGGCGTGACCAAGCCTTCCTTCTGTCTTTCCGAGAGGCTTTCATCTTCGCTCCGACATTCTGGTTGGTGTAGGTGGCGTCGCTGTGAGACTTGACGGTGGTCATCACTCTCAAGCAGAAGGCTTCTGACTCAGAAACTAGGGCATTGATCAGTGTTCTGAAATGGCGCGTTGGTGTTCAAGAAGTCATTTTCCGTCGCGAAAACAGTGACATTGCAAGGCTGTCGGTCATGTGTAGGTAAGCAGTGGATGATGCAATGTTCTGCTTCGCCCAATGTGTCGCATCTTGCAGAGGGGTTCTATATCATGACGTTTTTGTAAACAACTGGACTGGAACTGTAGTAGTATGCTGGCACAGCATCTCGCCATATTGTCGCATCGCCAACTTTTATACGATGATCTAGGCTTCCATCGGTAGGTTGACATCAGTAGCGCATGCAGGTACAAAGTCGTCAGACCAGCTTTCCATGATAGGCTAGAAAGATAGGTCAGCCGCTCTATGCGACGTTCATCTATCATTTCCAAGTTCCATTGTAGGGTGCATGTCTTAACACTTGCGATGGCTGGGGCATTAGAGCAGCAACGCTAGTAATGAGACTGTGGGGTACTTGGCATCATGACGGCCTCGTAGCTGATCGCTCAGCTTCTGCCGCAGTGTCAAAATTCGCATGTAAGACATAGGTCTTAGCTCGGTAAGGTGTGTCTTTCTGAGCTATTCCTAGGTTTAGCACCAGCTCGCCCGGAAAATTAAGTAACCGTCTAGATGTACCAAGTGGTATGGTAATTGCGAAACATTCGTATTGGAGTTCAGGAGTCTGATCATGGCGTTTTATTAGTACTAAGCTACGTGGTACAGTCTGTCTGGGCGTCCGAATCGAAGAGCTATGTTGTAGAGCTTACGCCACCATTTTGTGGGTGCGACAGTATTAGCGCGGCCTAAGCTTTAGGCCGGTGGGAGGAAGTTAGCAAAAAGCATGCCCTGTATCAAGCAATACATGATGCTACCTCTGATACACCACTTGGCTGTTCGTGAACGGTTTGCTGTCGGGCGAGTACCTTGTGAATCAGCCAACCACGTAGCGACGACTAGATACCACATCGGATAGCCGGAAGCAATCCGATTTACAATCTGGACGTGGAAACTGGTAACGGCTGTTGCAGCCAGTAGTAATTGGGGAAGTGCCAATTCCGGTAGCTTGCATATCGCGGAGGTTCCGTTCCTGGATTTGGCTGTTTCACCAGTCTGGGGTACAGGACGCCCACTCAATGGGCGTGGGACACCGCTGCGGAGAATGGTGACACTTGATGTGAGGAGCAGCCACGAAACTGGTGCCGCTAGTATGAACAGAGGCAGATTAGAGATGGTCCAGTAACGGAAGAGTCCTACGTTCCTGGAAGAGGTCAGACTAGTAAGTCATCGTATTGGGGTTACTTACCAGTAATGGCTTTGTACCCACGAGTAAATGCTCGGGAAGGTCTCGTCACACCACGGTCTAGTTCCAGTGCCGCTGCCTCGGTCGCAGAATTCCGTGTATGCTAGATACTGCGGCCCGAAGAATGCCAAGGCTATCAGACTACCAGCTATGCATGTGACAAGCATCCTTCTTACATCTGGTATACGCAACTGCGCAGACATCAGAGAGGGCATGTACTTAGCGACATCGTATAGGAGAATTAAGCCGCTGAGTAGACCGTTGCTTCGCATCAGTGTAGCTGCTGCGAAAAAAGCACCAGAGCCAATCTTTTGAAAGTCCGCTCGAACCCATGACGTTCCAGTCTCAGCCGCAGTTTGAGATTGAGCATAGAGGAGCATGCCTGTGAAATTGAGCAATGAGAACATGGCTTCGGCATACGGTGCACTCATAAAAAGAGAAGCTGGCGTCAGGATATGCAAGACAGCGGCGATGAATGGGATGATCTGTCGCCGTTGAGGTTCCAGGACCAAGGTCAATAGGCGATACAGCACTAGCACAGAGAGGAGGTGGCAGATGTTGGAAAGGATGATTCCGGCCAGAGCATAGTAGTGCAGAGGGTCCTGCGCATCGCCAGCCATCACTGCGAGATATCAGTGCCGACCCAAATGACTGGGCCTCTGGTGCTCACATTGACCGGTTAGTCTCAGGAGATACGAATACGCCCCGCTGAAGGCCCACGCTTGCTCGTGGACATGACCCCGCTCAGCTGCTTTCACAAAGTACAATGCGTCCCAGCGGAGCAGATTGAGGACAAAACGCTCATAGCGGGAGGTGACATCCAGCTCAACATGACGCCGGGCGCTCGTGTTGAGCAGTATGAGACCAGAGGTGTCGTATCCGGGACCTGGGCAGAATGCAGCGAGCGAGAGGAGCAGCGCTTTCCATAGGCAGAATATGGCGACGAGCTGCGCGTTACGTCCTTTCGCGCCGAGATTAATCGCGTTCATGGTCTCGCATTGAAGTTGTCGCGGTCGATGATGGATGGTGAGGCACCACGCTACCATTGGGCAGGCGCTAGCGCCGGCGAAACGTTCTTCCCCACCCGCGCGCACTCGCTTCTCTGGATTTCGGTGCCGACAACTTTTGCGCCCGCTTTCGAACGTTCGTCAAGTCCACCGTCGCCAATCTTTACTTCGTCGCCGCCAACACACCAGGTAAGCGCATATCCGCCATGAATGCTCGGTAGCATATCACAATCGCACGTCTCTACATGAGCGTTTCGCATACAAATGATGGCTAGAGTGGAGAGCGGCTGAAAGGCCCTCTCGCTCTTACGAGATTCAGACCTATAGTGAATGAACATTCGCTAATGGTTTCTGTTCTCTATGACAGCCTCGACAATGCCTCCCAAAGGATCCGGAAAGAAGCCTGCGGCTTTCCCCCAGGCCACTTCTAAGTCGTCTGCCGCCAAGAAGCAAAAGGTCTGCCCATTCACCAAGCATTCAACTGCAACCGCTCACAATGGAACAGAACCCTCTCATCGAGAAGCGTCCTCGCAACTATGGCATCGGTCAGGACATCCAGCCCCAGCGCAACGTCGGCCGCATGGTCCGCTGGCCGTAAGCAAACCCCGATCCACCACAGATGGCAGATACTGATGATATGCAGCGCGTATGTCCGTCTTCAACGCCAGAAGAAGATCCTCAACATGCGCTTGAAGGTCCCACCGGCGATTGCCCAGTTCCAGCACGTTGCCGACCGTAACCTTGCCACCCAGGCTTTCAAGATCCTCAACAAGTACCGTCCCGAGACCAAGGCCGAGAAGAAGGAGCGCCTCACCAAGGAGGCCACCGCCGTCGCTGAGGGCAAGAAGAAGGAGGATGTCAGCAAGAAGCCCTACGTTGCCAAGTACGGTCTCAACCACGTTGTTGGCCTGATTGAGAACAAGAAGGCTTCCCTCGTCCTGATCGCCAACGACGTCGACCCCATCGAGCTCGTTGTCTACCTGCCCGCTCTCTGCAGGAAGATGGGTGAGTACTCCAAATGCGCAAGTTGAAAATGGAACCTTCACTGATATACATCAGGTGTCCCTTACGTTATCGTCAAGGGCAAGGCCCGTCTCGGAACGGTCGTCCACCAGAAGACCGCCGCCGTCCTCGCCCTCACTGAGGTCCGCTCTGAGGACAAGAACGAGCTCCAGAAGCTCATCACCGCTGTCAACGACGGTTACCTCGAGTCGCACCACAAGGACGCTGCCCGCCACTGGGGAGGTGGTATCATGGGTGCCAAGGCCAATGCCCGCATGGAGAAGAAGAGGAAGGCCATCGAGAGCGCTATCAAGATCTAAGCGGGTCCTGATGTGCTTTCTCGATTTCATGATGACTTTACGGCGTGTCTCTTATCTCTGCATATAGTCGGTTCACAATACCAACGGAGTTTAGGAGGGTTAAAAGCGGTCGGCAAACGACCGCATTGACTGGAATCAATCACGATAACGCACGCCATTCGCATGATTTGTTGCTTGTGATTATGTTTCGATTATACATGCTGAACTATGATGACCGCGTCAGCTGCACTCGCACGAGACGAACTGCTGTGCGCCTGTTTCCAGTTCCGACGATGGATGCGACAGCCCACCCTAGAAGTTGTCGATCCTCGTGCCGATACTGCGCTCATTCGCTATGCGAACAAGGTCACCGCCCACCACGACGTCCGTAAGACCCAGTCCCACACTCTTATAAATCACATTCCCCTTGACCAACCACTCAATCAAGCTCTTATGCGCCTTGTTCTCTCCTTCATGATGTTTCTCCTTCTTCCCACTACTCCCCCTCCTCGCCTTCTCCGTCTTCTCCCTCCGATTCATCTCACACTCCCCCAACTCCACACCCCCCGTATCCAGTCCCTCCGCCTCCATCAACCCTTTCCCAGCCAAGCACTCCCGTCTCCTCCTCTCCGCATCCCTCTTCAGCATAACCAACTCCCCAATTTCAACAACCTGATCCGGACCTAACCCCGCCTGCACCACCTCCCCACCCTCTTTCAACGCCTTCTCAACACTATCCACCACCACCGCCCCGCTCTGCTTTGCGTGCTTGTGGAAATGGCGGTGCCCGTGCTCGGGCGCGACGTTTTGTCGTAGGATGTCTGGGTGTAGTTCTGTGGCGAGTGGTGAGAGCGAACCGATGGCAGCTATGTAGCGGCCTTTCTTTCGTCCTTCGGGGTTCGTTAGGATGGGCGCGGGGAAGAGGGGCGTGGGAGAGGCGGTGCAGAGGAATAGGACGGATGAGGAGCGGAGGGTGGCGTGTAGGAGGCGGGGGTATTCGCCGTGGCCTGGGGTGAGAATTTGTATTTTAGGGCGATGGAGGTATTGGTGTTGGGTTTCTTTTCCTGTTGAGCCTTCCTCTGAGCCTGATGCGCGGCGGTAGGTGGGTACGTGGTTTGGATCGGGGTTGAAAGTTGAAGGAGCGGAGTCGGGATCGTATAGTTTCTCCAATAATTGGTGCACACGTTCAAAATCCCGATTTATGATATTGAGATGATGGATATCCGGTCCGCGTAGCAGGAGGGCAAGACGAATGTGCCAGTACGCTTGTTTTCCTGCGCCAAAGACTGTCACGTCGTGAACGTTTGCTCGTTTCTTAAAGAGCATTGTGCTTGCGAGAGCGGTGCGGAAGGCTGTCATTTCGGAGGAGTTTAGCATGGCGCGAGGGTTTCCGGAGCGGTCGAAGAGAGTGAGACTAGTATTTGATGCCGATGTTTGAGTTGAAGCGAGAGAGGCTGTGGTTGCTGAGCTTTTACTCGTTGGTGTCGACTGTTGAGATAGAGCGAGTGAGCTCATCGATGAAGTAACAGAGGCTGTGTCCAAAGAGTTGGACTCTGGACGTGTCGTTATTTTGACTCCGAGACCATCGTTGCTGCGAATAGTCAGTCGATGCGATTGTCATGCATGTGTATTTGCAAGAACTATACATACCTGCTTGCCGGCGCAACCGTCATCATCCCTCCATCTTTAGTCTTCACACTCGTGCCTGTAGACTGAAAACTCTCACAACATCCATTGTTGTCGTCTTCTTCCGTGCTGGTAGAATAATGGTGCAGCGCATCAGCGAGGTTCTGCTGCAAGTCGAGGATGTCTTGTTTGGTCAATTGCAGTAAGAGAGTGCGCACATCTGCGTCAGTAAGTACAGTCAATGGCATTGTAGATTCGCTGATGGGCCAGTGTCGGAAAACCAGTGCTGTTTATGCGTCGCGCAGCAAGCGGTGATTTTATTGTTGATGGTCGGAAGGTCCAGGGTATGATGTCACATGTGCAGGCGCAGGTACAGCGGAGCGGGGGAGGGGCAAGCGGGTTTAAGCAGGAAGGAGCGCGCGTCCGGTTGCGACTGAGTAAGCATGCTGAGCAAAAAGGTTCATTGTGTAAGCAAGAGACTATCTAGAAAATGCTATTTCCACTAGGCGCCACTGATGCAGAGCCTGTTCATATCGCTCGTAGTCATGACCCGTCCGATCTAGCTTATTGTACATGTCCGTCGCTTATGGTATCATTGAGCGTCGTTCGTAATATCCCATTCGTCACATAGCTGTCGTTTAAGCAAAGTAGCTCTTCCACAGCACACCCTCCAGATCTTCCAGCTGCTCTTGTTCGAACGCCTGTGTGATAGTTAGTACGATTCATGATCCTATGAGTGCCGAAAACTTACCTTGACATCGACATGCCAAGTATCCTGCCTAGTCTTCTTGAAGTCTGCCAATACAGTCTTGACACTCTTGCCGACCATGCCTGGATCAGCCGCAGCCTTCCTAGCCAGCGTCGCAAGCACGTCAGGCAACCAAGCGGGCGGAGGGCTCTGGTATGGGAAAGCTTGGATAAGCGCACCGAGACCCAGTACAGCTGCATGGCGCGTCAGGACGAGCTTGCCTTGCTCCGTTGTCGGCGTTCCTGGGTTGCGCTTCTTCGGCAATGGGTTCTTGTTGAGCTGCTTGGTGAACCGCTCCTTAAGTGTGGAGACTTGGCGGTCGCGGAACGCGATGGGCGAGCAACGAATCATGCCTGATAGCGTGGTGGCAGCACCCATTCGTACTTCGAGTTGTGTGTCTGAAAGCATGGCGGAGACGCAGTCAAACATGCTCTGTTGCTGCTCCTCGCTCATGAGGAAGAGTCGGCGGAAGTAGATCACTTGGATGTTGATGAGAATCCTAAGACGCTGATGCCAGCTTGTTGCGTTGCGTCCGATGCGAATGAGAGCAGAGATGAAGTCTGAGTCCTCACCTTGGCGATGCGGGATGTTGGGTAGGTGGCGGAAGACATGATAAGCGAGCGACTGCAATTCAGGGTCCTCCTTGATGTCCATCATGTGTAGGAGCTGCTCCATGAACACATCGGGGAAGAACCTAACGAGCGAGGTACACTCGTACGAGGAGAGCGTAGAGTCGAGCCAGAGAAGAACAGTCTTACCACCTGACGTGTACGACGAAGGTGTCTGTTGACCTGCCGGACGCTCCCCACGCCAGACCTCAAGGCGATCAAAGACCTCGGTGATGGTTTTAGTGAACTCTTCCGTAGGCTGGTAAGGGCGTTCGCCGATCGAAGAAGCGTCCTTTTGCGCCTTCATCAGCGTGTCGACATCCTTGTACGATTCGTGGTAACGTGTCCTAAAGATACTCGCGATGGTCTGGCCCATGGCTTCTCGCACGCCCTTGTACGGATGGTCGAGATGCTTCATGAAGTCTTCCAAGATCGGCTTCTCTAGACGGAAGTGCCAGCCCGCATCGCAGATACATTGCGTCAGCAAGTGGACTTTGGAGCTCTCTTTGAAGGCGGCGTTGGACTCCATGTCAAGGCGGAAGCTAGCTAGCCAGTCGACCAGCGGCCATCCTCGGCGTGGATCCTTCGACTGCAACACAACATGTAGGAAAGTAGTCCAGTAACCGGAGTTCTCTGGTGTCAGTCCGTCTTGGAAGATGCCACGAACGATAGGGAAGACGTATTCCCATACGGCTTCGC